TGAGATAGCTATTCTGTGAGATTAGATCCCATGGGAGAACATAGGTCTGGTTGTGAGCGTCAGACCAGCTTGAAATCACATTGAGTCTAGCTATGAATGTTAGATCAGTTCTGGACTGCTTAATTTTCTTTATATCCATATATGATACACACACACACACACACTGAGTGGCCAGATTATTATGACCACCTGACGTTTGTAGGCAAATTAGCTATAATTTCGCGCTGAAGTTGCTAGAGGGCCGGATCATTATAAACATCTGAAAGGGTGTGTGAGCAGCTGCAAACAGCCATCATCCCCTCATCCAGGCTGGCCAGGCACCCCAGTGGGGACCCCCACCCTGAAGGGTGTGTGAGCAGCTGCAAACAGCCATCATCCCCTCATCCAGGCTGGCCAGGCACCCCAGTGGGGACCCCCACCCTGAAGGGTGTGTGAGCAGCTGCAAACAGCCATCATCCCCTCATCCAGGCTGGCCAGGCACCCCAGTGGGGACCCCCACCCTGAAGGGTGTGTGAGCAGCTGCAAACAGCCATCATCCCCTCATCCAGGCTGGCCAGGCACCCCAGTGGGGACCCCCACCCTGAAGGGTGTGTGAGCAGCTGCAAACAGCCATCATCCCCTCATCCAGGCTGGCCAGGCACCCCAGTGGGGACCCCCACCCTGAAGGGTGTGTGAGCAGCTGCAAACAGCCATCATCCCCTCATCCAGGCTGGCCAGGCACCCCAGTGGGGACCCCCACCCTGAAGGGTGTGTGAGCAGCTGCAAACAGCCATCATCCCCTCATCCAGGCTGGCCAGGCACCCCAGTGGGGACCCCCACCCTGAAGGGTGTGTGAGCAGCTGCAAACAGCCATCATCCCCTCATCCAGGCTGGCCAGGCACCCCAGTGGGGACCCCCACCCTGAAGGGTGTGTGACCAGCTGCAAACAGCCATCATCCCCTCATCCAGGCTGGCCAGGCACCCCAGTGGGGACCCCCACCCTGAAGGGGGTGTGACCAGCTGCAAACAGCCATCATCCCTTCATCCAGGCTGGCCAGGCACCCCAGTGGGGACCCCCACCCTGAAGGGGGTGTGACCAGCTGCAAACAGCCATCAGTTCCTCACCCAGGCTGGCCAGGCACCCAAGCGGGACCCCCACCCTGATCCGGGACACCTTTCAGGGCAAACCCGCCGGCCCCCACCCGTGCACCAGGCCTCTATCCTATATAGTAAAAGGGTAATATGCAAACTGACCCTAACAGCAGAAAGACTGGGAATGACTGGTCACTATGACACACACACTGACCACCAGGGGGCAGACGCTCAATGCAGGAGCTGCCCTCTGGTGGTCAGTGCACTCCTACAGGGGGGAGCTCTGCTCAGCCACAAGCCAGGCTGATGGCTGCCAGTACAGCGGTGGTGGTGGGAGCCTCTCCTGCCTCCTCAGCAGTGCTAAGGATGTCTGACTGCAGGTTAGGTCTGCTGCCTACTGGCAAGTGGACATCCCCCGAGGGCTGCCGGGCTGCCAGCGGGATGTCTGATTGCCAGCTTAGGCCCAATCCCCCGGGGAGCAGGCCTAAGCCAGCAAGTGGGCATCCACGAGGGGTCCCAGACTGCAAGAGGGCACAGGCCGGGCTGAGAGACCCCCTACCCCCGAGTGCACAAATTTTTGTGCACCGGGCCTCTAGTATATATATGTATATATGTGTATATATGTATATGTATATATATGTGTGTGTGTGTGTGTGTGTATGTATCTACACATTTATATCCTAGTTTAACTAGTTTTTAATGAGATTTTATCCTTTCCTTGCTTTGGCAAGTGCAGTATTACCATATATTGCATTGGGAAGAGTTAAGTTCTCTCATGATGTATTTCATCAGTATATCGAGATTTCAGGATACACTTTTTCAGCTGTATTAGTAGCATAAAATGTACCTCCATTTGGAAAACTTGTAATGTTTCCTGGACATGAGCAGAAATAAGATGCTTACACTGATCCCGGTGGGAAGTAGGTGGTGATGGAGGCAGATAGGAGGGCATTTTCAGAAATATTTAAAGAACAGAGTGGACAGAACTCAATGTCAAGATGTATGTAGGGAACCAAAAGAAAGAAGGCTGGCCCCTAAGTTTCTAGCTGACTAGTTTGAGTAGGAAGTGAAGTTGCTCCCCCGGATGGGGAGGAGGAGAGCAGTGGTAAGCTAGCTGGCAGGGGAGTAACAAATCTTAAACAAGACTCCACACAGTAGCATGAATCTGGTTGGGGCGAGGCCCATTGCTTCTAATCAATCTTGTAGGTGTCTAGTATCTAACAGAATAGTAATTTATTGTGAAACTGCCCAAGGAACCAAGAGCTTAAATTCTTTTGTCAGCACATAGGCAAAGCTCTCGCTGTAGGCAAATCTATGTAAGTGACAAGATTACAATCAGATTGTTTTTTGGTCTGGGTGGGGACATGACAAGGGAAGCTGGCCTGGGTATTGTGGTGGTATTGTTATCAAGGTATGATATCTATACTGTGTAGGGTTTTATGTGCCCAGTATAAAGAAACACAAAACTAACCTCAAAACCATGTCCTGAACAGCCATGTTGAAATGTTGAGTGCCAAGGATGCCAAAGTAGCTTTGATATCATGTCAGCACCAACACACGAGCTGGTGCATAGTAGGTATTCAGTGCATATTGTGAAGGTCAGTCTAGGCTTAACAGAAGAGTACCCTATGAATTATTATTTATCCTGTGGATGTGGAGAAGGGGTAAGGCTCTCTCTAGCAGGCACTGGCCAGCCTTGGTTCAAAACTATACATAGTTATTATGGAACTGATCTAGGAGTTTTAAATAGAAACATGAAGGAAGGGAGAGGAGGAGAGAATGAAAATTTATCTGTAACCACACAAAAACAAATTAAAAGACAGGCTTCCTTTGCCTATTTTCATTTTGATATTCGGCACCCATGTAAAGAGGCAAAATACGGAAAAATTTAAAAGGCAGCTCTCCTGGTTAATATGTCGACTGTGCAGGGACTACATTGATCAAGAAAATTTGACATATTAAATATTTCTTGTTTCTTTTTCCCAGTGTCTTTTTCTCTTTCTATTGGGAAAGGCTTTTCTCCAGCTGACTTCTCTCTGATCTTAAAAAAAGAAAATCACCTTTTCTTGCTGAGGTTCCTCTTTTTTATTGTAGTATTTTGGATCAGAACATACAATTTAATTTTTATCATAGGTAAAATTAGTAAGAGCTTTTCAGTGTGAGAGTTGCTTCCTCTATAAAGTTAAAGCAAAATCATAATTGTTTATTTTTGCTTATTAATCATGCATATGCTATATGGTTCTATTTTATTAAATTCATACCTATTTTGAAATTATGTGACACTTTCCCAGATGATTACACTATGAACAATGATTTAGATAAACCTACAGAGATGAAAATCTTTAAATGGTGATGGTTGGGCTGGACTTCAAACTACTGTTGTGGATGCAGCATTAAAGCCTATGACCCATCCCCCAGATTTCTTGGACAGGGACCCAATTATACCTCCTCTTTTTAGGCCCTCTTATATGTCTGATCTGTTACTGAATTGTTCATGTGCCTTTGGAAGTCTTTAAGTTCTCCAGTAAACAGCATCCTGATAATAATTAAATATATTTATATTAATATATTTATATTAATAGGTTTTCTTCAGGACTTCTCCTTCAGTATTTTGGTTATTTTTGTTTTAAGCATTCACAGAATTTAAGGGTTGTATTCTATCATTATAATATCAAGAATGAGACTATACAGAATGGGTGAAAAAATAATGGCTTCTTTTTGAGTTAGAAGATATCTTAGAGAAATTCTTAGATTGTAACCCTTTTATTTTATGCCAAAAAGTTAAGATTAAAATAATTGGTGGCTTCTGAATCTCCCAAAAGAAAAATTATTTTTAAACATATAATTATGCTTGTTCAATCAAAATATATTATTTTTCAACATATAATTTTGGGCCCTAACCGGTTTGGCTCAGTGGATAGAGCTTCAGCCTGCAGACTGAAAGGTCCCAGGTTCGATTCCAGTCAAGGGCATGTACCTTGGTTGCGGGCACATCCCCAGTAGCAGGTGTGCAGGAGGCAGCTGATCTGTTTCTCTCTCATCGATGTTTCTAACTCTCTATCCCTCTCTCTTCCTCTCTGTAAAAAATCAATAAAACACATTTAAAAAAAAACATATAATTTTGCAACTTTAATGAACATTTACTCAGTAAATCAATTGACATAGTATAGTTTTTATGTTTTTCTTAATAAAAATTGAGCAGAAGACTTTGTGTGATGAACACATCATTTTAACTACTTAATATCTTTCCCATTTAAATAGATATAGAAAGGGATATCTATTTAAACTAATTATTTTTAAATCTACATTCTTTAATTAAGGAAAAAATGCTGAGGTATGCTTCTTTGAGCTTTCAAAACTTTTCTTGCTTTTTGTGGTGCTTCATTAATTGAGTAAATGATCCTGTAACTGAATATAATTTAGTCAGTTATGTGAAGTTGTGTGATCATTCTTTGATTATGACTGAAATCTATAATTGGAAGAAGGAAGAAAATAGTTTTATTTATATGACTATATTACTTTGTGATATAATTATTTCTTCCAGATGAAATTCTTTAAAAATTAAATTAGTTAATAGACTTTGGAACTAAGGATACTTTAGAATTCATCTGTGGCAACAACTTCATGTTACAGACAATGATATTGAGACCCAGATTGCAGAGAAATTTTCCGGGAAGACACTTTGGATCAGAACAAAACCCTGATCTTTCTTGTTTCTTTGTCCAGTGATTTTCACTTTGTGATGCATGTTGTCCCCAATACCAACCTAGATGCTATTAATAACAAAGGGAGGGTGGGGAGAGTCCCAGAGAAGGGCATGGATCCTTTCAGTGAACCTGCTCAGTTTAGGGGTTCGTTCAGTGGGTGTCCAGCATTTGTTCTTCCATGGTGGGGACATCATGCTAATAAAACCGATGTTTGCTTTTTAGGTGAGAGTTACGTGTGTGCATCGAACGAACCATTTCGTAAAGTTGATTACACCAAAAACATTAATCCGAACTGGTCTGTGAACATCAAGGGTGGGACCGCCCGAGCCTTGGCTGCTCCCACCTCGGTGAAAAGTGAAGTGAAGGAAAGTAAAGATTTCATCAAACCCAAGCTAGTGACTGTGATTCGAAGCGGAGTGAAGCCTAGAAAAGCCGTGCGGATTCTTCTGAATAAGAAGACCGCTCATTCCTTTGAACAAGTCTTAACCGATATCACCGAAGCCATTAAACTAGACTCAGGAGTGGTCAAGAGGCTCTGCACCCTGGACGGAAAGCAGGTATGGTGATTCTTAGCCCCCCCGCTCCCCATCTTACTTTTAAATTCTCCTTGTACCGTGGCAGTTACATGTGTGACAATATGAGCTTTGTATCTGCTAGATATTTTAGTTGTGTGTGTGTGTGTGTGTATGAATTAGCCTTTATCATAAAAGTTGTAAGCGGCCCACCTGTCTCTTTTACACAAATGTCTCAAAATTATATAGAGAGAAATCTATACGTCTTATGGTCATTGGAAGGGAAATGTAAACTTGTGAGGGAAAAGTGTACGTTGAAGAGGCTTCCTACATTAAGTGGGATGTTCTCTACTTAAGAATAAGAACACCTAATGACTAGTAGAGTCATTATGGGCTTGGGGAAGCCACAGAAGTAAAAATTAAAGATATTTAACATTTTTTTTTTAGCAAAGCCTCTCCTCTCCACTCATGTATAATATGGAAAATGCATTTAAAGGAAAATATTTTCATGAGAATGTCCATATGAATTTCATAGGGAAGAATGGAGGTAATTAATCAGCATTTCTGAAAAAAAAATACATAAATTACACAGGGAAATGCATGCCAAATTATGGTAACAATATACCAGGAACTCTAATGGGCTAAAAAAAAATTGGGCAAATTGCAAGTACGCATGAATAGCAGTTACACAAATACTGAGTTTTGCCACAATCAGATTATCATTCCTAAAAAGAAACATGTGGTTTCTGAAGTGTATTTTCTCTAGTTTCAATAAGGTTAAATTGTTTATATTTACATTGTATAAACATAGTTTCCAGTATTCACTTTGTTTCTTCATTTCATTTTGTTTCTTCTCTTGAAAAGAATTTATTTTGAAGTGTTTGGCTCATGTAGTGCTGAAAATGAATAATACTAAACACTGGAGCAGTGTCTTCTGGCAGGGGAAAAAAAATAGTTTTCTAAGACCAGATCTAGTTACTACGTTGCTTCCTGGATCATTAACAAAATTTTAAAAATAGGTTCTAAAAATTCCAGTAGAGTTTAATGAAGTTATGACTTCTCTAATTAATTAAATTAATGATTAAAAGGCAGCCTGCCCCAAAACAGGTTCAGATGACTGGGAATAGCCACTTTACAAGTTGATTTATTCTGCAAGTAAGTGACCAAAAGGAAAAAGGGAGATTTGATAAGTCAAATAGCTAATTCTTGGTGGACACAGGGGAAATACGAACTATAGAGACATATATTTAAGATGCCTAACAAAAGAAAAGAAAATCGTAAGTATGCCAAATTAGAAAACCTAAGTGGCATATAAACAGTACATGCAGATGAGATTTTAAAAATTGAAACTTATTTGGAAATCTCCAAATGAATGTTTTTAGGGAAATTTTAAGTGAAATAAAGAAGTTGAATGTCTAATTGAAATAGTAACCATTGAAATTTTAATAGTTATCTAAAAAAAATTATCTTCAAAAAGACTCCAGACTAGAAATATTTATATGGAAAAATGTTGACTAAAGCACAAGCAATCCCAAATCATCAACATATTAAAGAATAATACACTGCTATGAATAGGGTTTATGACAGGAATGAAAGGATGGCTTATTGTTAAGAAACCTGTTAATACATGGGATCTAGAAGATAAAGTTATTGCACACATAATCCCAAAAAAAGATATCACAAAAGCACTTGATAGAATACAAAATCTAAGTTCAATTAGGGATTTAGTAATAAAAATGGAAAATTCCCTAACAGACTAAAAAATCCTCTCTGAAACAAAAGGTCTGTGTAATTGGTATACAAATGAGATACTGGAAGTATTTCTATGATAATCAGGTAAGGATGCCTGATAGCAGCAGTATTCAACATTCTTCTATACATTCTTCCTGATTTTTATTTATAGTTTAATTGCAATTTCAATAAGAATCTAAGTGATTTTGCGGGAAGCAGGGGGAGGGACACATGACAAAATGATTTTAAAAGTTAATCTGGAAAAATAGGCAGGAAAATTTTGGAAATAATGATTAATGGGCTCTCATGCTACCAGATATTAAATCACCATTCTCATACTATACCAAAAATAAATTCCAGGTGTTTTAAAAATATTGATGTCAAAATGAAACCAAAGAACTAAAGGAAAAGATGCCAATAGTTATGGTGACATGGGAAAGGATTTTCTAAGCATACACGTAGTGGGAAGATCACAAAGGAAAAGGTTGGTTAGACAACATAAAAATCAAAACTTTCTAGATGTTATAAGCAAGGGTTATATACTTTTATGTTAAATCATAATAGTTTAATATGAAGAAAACCTTAACACTGCAATGGCAAAATGAATCAAACACCAAACAGACAATTTGAAAAGGTAGAATTATAAATACTAAGTATAAGAAAGCACAGTCTCACTAAATAAATATGCATGAAAACAATATGATTTTTTTTATATTTAAAGTTGACATGTTTTTGAAAAAGAAAATGTCCATTATATTTCGATATGCAGTTAATTGGCATTCTCAATGAATGATGGAAGTGTAAATTTCATAATCTTTATGGAAAGCAGTTTGTTTTGTACTATACAAATGTCCTTTCCATTTGAACTAATAATTTAGCTTATCCTAAATAACCTGAGATGCCAACATAATTATGCATGAGAATTCATCCCAGCAATAAGATCAAAAGATTGAAGACAATTTAAAATCCCTAAAATAGAAAACAGTTAAATAATATTACCATAGCATTCATAGGAGTGGCCTTTAAAAATTGTGTGGGGGTCAATTTAAGACATGGGGAAATGTTAAGTGAAAAAGGCAAGAAATAAACTCGGTAGTATGGTTTCAATTTTGTGTTAAGAAAGAAAAGTAGAGGAAAAATTTTTTAAAAAAGCTAATTCAGAAGGAAACACAATCATAGTTGCCATCAGAAACCTAGTACTTGCTGTTGTGATTTCTACTACTTCTTCCTCATGTCTGTTTAAAAGCAAAAACTCAAGCACTGAGAAAGAAAACAAAGACCGATTTCAATCAGATTGTGGAAATTAAAACATTGTGAGTTAATCCTTGAAATTTTGGCATGTGGCTATAAAATGTTACAAGCATCACTTTTGTCACTGTTTAGGTCTAAACATGATTTCCCATGTACAAAGAGAAGAGATATTTTTAAAGTTTCAAATAAGATTTCTTTGGAACAATAAGATTTTGGTTTTCATAGGCACAGTTTTGGATACTGTATTTTCGGAGTGCCAGGTATCCTTCGAAGCTATAGTCTTCTTGGCATTGATTCAACATCTGTTCTCTAGATAGACTTGCTATTTAAAACTTCATGTCTGTTGTGTGGTTGATATGTTATAAAGAAGACATTAAATCTTGCTTTGAAGTAGCATAAGAAACTTGTCTTATGCTTAAGATGAATGCATATCTTTAAATGGGCATTGTTTGTTCGGATTTTACTTTACAAATTGATTTTTTTTTAGGGGGCATGTAAAACTATCTGCTTTCTGAAAATTCTCAAGGAAAGGACAGCTTTGCTTAGGTGAAGAGAGAGGAATGAGAAAAGAAGTAGGATCTGCTAATGAGTTGTTCCTGCACAAAATTTTAGGCCATTTACCTCAACTTTTTATGTTCTTTCCTACTCAGATTGGTCGTTTTCATCTTAAATTAATCTGATCTTCGACACAAGCAGAGATAAACAGTTTCTAGGCAGTTCATTATGCAGTCACCGATTCCATTCCTGATACCCATGTTAGAGTTTTAAGGGGCCCTGGTTATCTTTTTTATGGGTTTAAAAGCTTTCCCGATTGAAGGGGCAATGAATGGTGTGGCATGTGCTAGTAGCATTTATGCTGGTAACACAATGTCCCTTGAGTCTTTTCTGTCAAAATGGATAGTCACGTCTTCCTAGTGGTATTGACTCAATTTACAAGGCCTGACGTGGTTAGTACAACTAACTCACGTATTCTGTGTCTCTTGTAAAATCACTTCAAATAAAATCAAATGTTAGGATTTATCCATTTTAACTCTTGGGTTTGCTTTCGTGTAGAGCAGTGGCTCTCAACTGGGTATGTTTGTGCTCTATGGGACAGTTAGTGGAGTTTGGAGTCAGGTTTAGATGCCACAACTGGGGATGAGGATTCTACTGGCATATAGTGGGTAGAGGCCAGGATACTGCTATCTACAGTATCCTTCAGTACACAGGACAGACAGACAACAGACACAACATAATTCTCAGGGGTCCAAAATGTAAATGGTGCTGAGATTCAGAAAACCAGTTGTAAAGTAAGTGAAGTGATTCAAAAAGAGATGACACTTGTTTGATTGTTAACTTTATCAACGAGGCCACATGCTAAACTTTATTTCAGTACTTACAGATTTCCCCATAGCCTGTCTGTGCACTTTTTATCTCATTGAGGTAGGTGTGTTGGAATGCCATGGTTTATGGTCTTTGTTATCCTGGATTTCCATTTATTTGTCTTTGTTGTGTAGGGCTGACATGTCGTTGGGGAGTACAGCTTCACAGGCAATTAAAGACGGTTTTACATGTATTTAAAGAAAGTCTAAGAAATGATGATTTTATGGAGTTTTAAATATTTAATACTTAAAGTGATGTGATGAGCATCAATTTTTAAAGAAATACACAACCTATGCATTTATATATGGGGTGACTAGAAAAAAGGATCTATAAATAGAAGTCATGACTATTCTCTTCAATAACTTTTTAAACTTGCAATTAATTTAGATTAAATGCTTTACTTTTGTTTTCTTTTTACAAATGGAACCTTGAACTTTTACATTAAAGACATTATGTAGGACAACAAGGTTTACTTTTTTAAATTTCAAAAGTCAGGGTGAGTTTCTTATAATAAACTGCAGCAGGGGAGTTCTTTTTAAAAATGTCTTTATTCTGTTAAGGGACTGAAAGGTCCAAATATAGCTTTTGTCCACATGTGTAAAAAATTCTAACTTTTAGCTTTCCCAGAAACAGCAGAGTTTTAACATAAAAGAAACATATTTAGTGGAATTTTGGAACAAGTTGATTCTTGTCATGGGCAG